GTCCCAGTTCTGTCACTAATCCTCCCTCTCTCTCTCTCTCTCTCTCTCTCTCTCTCTCTCTCTCTTGTCTTGCAGATTGATGGTGTACAGGGAGATGACTACTGGAACAAGAACTTTGAAGAATGGCTTCAGGTCCAATCTGGGCTGAAACCATGTGAATGACTTCATTATCACTTTAATAATACATGCATAGAAAGGCCTGAGTTGACAGTGTTAATAATCATGAATGTTCAGTCAAAATATGTAATAGGAGCATGATTTGAGTTGTTTTTGACACAGATACTGTTTAAACGTGACATGAACATGGACATGAACTGTACAAAATAAATCAATGTAAAAAATGTATTGTTCTCATCTGTTTTCTGGATTTTTATATTCTACAGGTATAATCCATGTATTTTATTGTTGTTGTTTTTTTTTTTACAAATGTTCATGTTGTCCTTATTTAAGAAATTAAGCTTAATGTAAATCTGCAGTTGTGCATCATATACATGTTACAGTATTTGTTTGTCTTAAATAAAGTACACCCTGGCTTTGACATTGTGTGTCCTGAAAATATATATATATACATATTTCTTAACAAAGCCTTCTCACATTTATTGTCAAGGCTGTTTTGGTGGGGTTTGTTTAGATCAGAATCTTGATTTGATTGATAAAAAAAACATGCTTTAAATGCTTCATTTTTGCTTTGCCAAATATCAGGATATGTAAGGTTTAGAGCTCTTTGTGTTACTGCCTCAAATGGCTGATAATTATTTATAAAACATCAGTGAATAAATCTTTTTCTCCTACACAATAGTAAATGGTATTATCTGTTTATTTTATTATTGTTTTCCTGCAGTAAAAATACAGTACTTCTCAATACTGATAGTTCACATTAGGTCTTAAGGCCCAGCAGCTGATTGAACAACAGTCCAGGCCTGAGTCCAGGCAGCAGGGCAATTACTGCACTGCTCATGAACACTAAGACAGTGTACGGGATGACATTGTTAGTTTATGTAGTGTTTTTATGCCAGAGCTGTTCCCGCAGTGCAAATGAAACACGTCAGGTTTTTTATTGGATTATTCCCAGGACGTGGGAATTAACGCCAGTGTCCACAGGCCCAGAACAGAGGTGGTCTCTTCAGTGGGTCACATTTCACCTGAGTCAGCAAGAAACAAACCAGGCTTCAATAAGATCATTTAGAAAAATGTGAACTATACTGGAGGTGTGTGACAAAAAAAAACACTTAGTAATTCATGAGATATTAAATGTAAATGTAAACAGAGACTTGGTTTATAGTCATACAAATATGTTCTTTTTAAGTGTATAAATGTAATGGCTAATACAAAAACAAGAATGATTTTTTTTTAATTAGATTTATTTAAATATGTATTTGTTTGTCACTGAATGGAAAATTCATAAGAAAATATGTATCTTTTAATTTAACTAATGAGAGAACTTAGGTGCGGTACACACACACACACACACACACTTCTGTTTCTCATTCGCTTTTTTTTTAATTATACCAGAAAACATGGTGGAGCATTACCATACAATGAGGGATACAGTATGTATTGCTGTGATCATTGCACTCTGTGGCATAACAGGGGAAATAGTGATTAAGATTTTTTTTCTGAAGACAGGAAACATTTTTATATTAACAAAATCTCTTAATAGAATGTTTATTATTCCCCATAAATTGACCAGACATTTGGTCCATAAAAAAGGAAAAAATGTCATTAAGTGTTTCCTCCAAACAATGCCTGGAAGAGCAAAGGCATTAGAACAAATTCACATTTGATTACAAAAAAAAAAAAAATTAAAAAGCGATCAAATGGGGTGGATCTCTCAGTTTATATAAAAGAGGCATTCTAGCTTAAAAATAGCTGCAAACATCTCTAATATATATATATATATTTTATCTACTTGTGTTAGATGAATTTTATTGGATTCATATGTAGGCTTTTTCAAACGTATATTCACTGAATGTTTATTGAAATGTGAAGAGATAAAAAAAACAGCACAAACAGCATTTTCCCCTGCCTTTATTCCACATATAAAGAGAGAGGGAAACAGCAGCGTCGATGTGAATGGATGCAAATTTTGGCTCTGACTCCACCTGGCATGGTGCCAAGTATCTATAGCAACCACATCTTTGACAGCCTCCTTCCATCCCTCCTTCACTCTCTAATTAGTTCTTCTATTTTCCACACGACTCCCTCGCCTAATTCTTTACACAAAGGGCTCTTTTTTCCGCCTAGATCTTCGTTTAGATAAAAGAATAAAAGAAAATCCAATATTTAAAAAAAAACAAAACGGTTTAAAGTTACCAGCAACCATTCAATTAAAGGAAGAAGCACGTTTTTACTTCTAATATTTACATCCATAATTTCTCTCGTTATTCGGTTCCACTGTAGTTCATGTATTATTTGTATTGTCTCCGTGTCCACATCCTGCGTGACGTTCACGGTCAAGTTCAAAGGCCTCTGCCAGATTCGGCTGCTCTGCTCCTTGTCTCTGTTCTCAGAGCTGCAGCGACGCTTATTGGACATTAGAAGAATTGCACAATCGGCCCTTATACATTGCTCGGGCTACAGAGCCCTCTTGTGGTCATTACGTGTTAGTATGCACCATGTGCTCAGCTATGTTAAACAAACGTGGACTGTTGTTAAAAACGTAATCGTGCAACGTCAAGCTTTCTCTGCAGGCCTAAACACTATTTTAAAAAATAATACAGAATACTAATTTCTTATCATTGCATGGCACATCAATTACGTTGGTGATTTGAGTGACTGGATTGGAAGATCAAGGAGCACAGTCTCGAATCTATTCTTTCCATTCTTCACTTTTAGCAGTCTAAAGTTTTACAACAGCGACTGTCGAGGGAAGGAGTAATGTTTTGCATTTTCTTTTTTTTTTTTTGTTTTTCATGTATATTTGTATTTTTTCTTTGAGCAAACATGTTGAAATAGAGTCCCTATGGTTGTGCGCCTACAGTTCTCTATTTTTATAAGAGGATATGTTTATTGTTTTTTTCGTTTTTGTTTTTTTTTTAATTTCTTTAAACAATGACCAAACTCACTCTACAAGTTTGGCAAATTTGAAAGTATAAAGAATCACACCTTAAGATCAGCCCTTTATTAAAAAAACCGACACAAACTAAAACAAACCACCGCCAATCACGCTGTTTTTCTGGGTAATTACGTCACAAATATGCAGTGGAACAGGGGGGGAATGGTCGTGTCTTGTGACGTCAGAGGCGGAAACGGTCCGCCGCGTGCTTTAAAACGCCACAGGTGAACGGCGTTACTCCTCATTAGCAGATCGACGGGAAGAAGGTGAGAGACTTTTGGATTTTTCTTTTCTACTGTTGGCGTTTTGAATCAGTGTGTTCATTTTTGCGAGATAGCTTAGGCTTCGCTTTAAGTGGAAGAAAACGATTTATTTTTTGTCTTTGATAAAACTAATTTTGAAAGAGCAGACCCACGCGTTTGGAGACTGTTCGTTCTTTGAATCACTTTGTAATGTTTAAAGCACAACTTCAGTGTCTTCAACGGGAAACTTCTAAAACAAATTGTTTGTAATCCCTATTGTTTAAAAGTGAACAAATACACATGATCAGTTGAATCAGACTCAGGTTTTGTATTTTTAATAAGAAAGGAATTATTTGAAAAATGCTAACTCCAACATTTTGTTTCCATTCATTTTCCAGCTTGATCTTCTTGAAGATCTTCAACACAGTAAGGAGCGTCGGTTTTTTTTTTTTTTTTCTGCAGTGTTTCGTCTGCTGTGTAGTTACTTTGGGCGCCGTGTCGCCCCCCCCTC